AGCTAAGGGACAGTGCCCAGGGCCAGAGTTCAGGCCCCATAACCGGACCCCCCCCCCAAAAAAAAAAAAAAGCGCCAAATACCTGGGTCTTGAATTCAAGCCCCAGTTCTGGCACAAAAGTAGAAAAAGAAAAAAAAAAACTTTTTTCTGTTGGTGGTGGTGTTGTTGGTGGTGGGGCTTGAACTCTGGGCCTGGGCGCTGTCCCTCAGTTCTTCAGCTCAAGGCTGGCACTCTACCACTGGAGTTACAGTGCCACTTTCAGTTTTTTGAGTGGTTTATTGGAGATAAGAGTCTCACCAACTTTCCTCCTGGGTTTGCTGTGAACTGCAATTCTCAGATATCAGCCTCGATCTCAGCCTCTTGAGTAGCTAGGATTACAGGCGTGACCCACCAGTGCCCACTGGGGGGGGGGGGGGGGGGACAAAAATTCTATAAACACAAGTGTAGTGGCAGTAGTGCAAGTTACTTTTTCTTTCTGATAATCATTGACATTGTTTCAATTTAATTTTAGCTTTAACATACTTCATGGGCTTGAATTTCTAAATTGATTTTTATAAAAATATATTGTGTTACAGGCTTACACCTGTAATCCTAGCTGAAGGCCAAGATCTGAGGACTGTGGTTCTAAGCTAGCCAGAGCAGGAAAGTTCATGAAACTCCAATTAATCACAGAAAGAAGTTGAAATGGCACTGAGACTCAAGTAGTAGTGTTAGCCTTGAGCAATAAGGAGGTCAGGGACAACATCTGAGACCCAGAACTGGCAAATATACATAGAGATATAGATCGATCTCTCTCTCTCTCTCTCTCTCTCTCTCTCTCTCTTTCTGTGTGTGTGTGTGTGTGTGTGTGTGTGTGTGTGTGTGTGTGTGTGTGTGTGTGTGTGTGTGTGTGTGTGTGTGTGTGTGTGTGTGTGTGTGTACACACATAGTTGATAATAGCCCTTAAGAGGGACTGTAGAAATTAGCACAAAGAGTTTACCCAAAGACTCTTAGTATTAGATTTTTTTAAAATAGTAACTGTTAGAGATATTCCACAGATTATTAGTTTCATTTGTATTAAAGAGGTGTTATTAAAAGAGTCATTTATTCTAGATGCCAGTGGCTCACAACTGTAATCCTAACTACTTAGGAGGCTGAGATCTGAAGATGGCAATTCAAAGCCATCTTGGACAGGAAAGGCCATGAAATTCTTATTGCCAATTAAGCACCAACACAAAAAAGGATGGGGCGGGGTGAGGGAGGCAGTGTGCAGAAATGGTAGAGTGCTAGCCTTGAGCAAAAGAAGTTTAGGGACAGCATTCGGGCCCCACATTTAAGCCCCTCCAAAAAAAAGATTCATTTAATATTGCTACTCCTCTACTTTATTGAGAATATCTTTGCATTTGATGCCATTCTCATTGAAAAGTATTTCTTTGGCAAAATAATTGAGCAGTACAAGCTATTTTAGAAAGGTGATATAGATAAGTTTTAGACTGAAGTCTCAATGGACTTTGGAATTTGTATTAATCAGTAACTTCCTGATACTGAATAGAATTTTTCAATTAATGAAAAATTAGTAAAATGTACTATTGGTCTGAAGGCTTGAAAACTTAATGATTCCTATTGAATAATACACTGGCTAGAAATAATAATCACTATAACTAGGATATGAGTGTAAAAACAGAATGTTTCTTAGGAAATTCTGTAAGAGTAGCAGAAGTTTGCAAACAGATTTTTCAGATATCTGGACTTCCTTTAATTGCTTACGTTAATTTATTATGGAAACAACTAACTTTGATCCCACCTCTCAGGTTATTCTTCCTTTTTAACCTTTTAAGAGGTGAATTACCTGTCCTATTAAATTACCTATTCAACCAAAAACAAAAACAAAAAATCTTTCACTGCCTTTCCCATTGTTCATTAAGCTATATAAGATCTTGTTATGTGCATAACTTTTGGGTTTTGCTTTGGGGTTGCTTTAGGTTTTTATTTCCTAAAAGAAAGAAATTGTATCGATTTAGTATTTTTATTTTTGCCCATCGGGTGCCACTTTTATTGAGAAAAAAAAAGCTCACTTCATCCAGGAACTCGCATGGAGGTGGCCTCATCCCTGTGACACTGCACACCTTCCCCACCCCCCCACCCCCCATACCCGGAAGCAGAACTCAAAAGAATGAATGAGGCAATCATAGGGTAGAGTGACACTTCAATGCAGGGCAGAGTTAGGAAAGACAAGACAGTGATTGGCTCCTCAGCATTGCATTTGGCCACATTTGCTTTTTACATACAATATTCTTTTTGTTTGTTTTTGTTTTTGTTTTTTGGGGGAGGGTCCGGTCGTGGGGCCTGAACTCTGGGCCGGGCGCTGTCCCTCAGCAGTTCAGCTCAAGACTAGTGCTCTACCACTTGAGCCACAGTGCCACTTCCAGCTTTTTTCTTTTTTGCTTATGTGGTGCTGAGGAATCGAACACAGGGCCTCAAGCATGCAAGGCAAGCGCTCTACCACTGAGCCACCTTCCCAACCCACAATATTCTTTTTTAAAGCTAGCTAAAGAAAATACACTTGAGTGAGGTTAGTTCTTAAAGCAATCAGCAGAAACATACATGTCTGGATATATAATGAAATCAAATGATAGTACGCTGGGCGTGGGAAGGACTCGGGTGTGGGCAGAAGCTGCCAGGCACAGAGGAGGAGGAGAGGCAGAGTTTGAAGGCATCTCTGTAAATTCTGGCTGGCTGAGCCATGAGATTTAGTATGTTGATATTGCTAATAATATGATTATAATTTTTTTACAAAACAAACTTGTTTGATAAGCCTGTTACCTTAACCAGAAAGAATTTCACATATATTCTCTCTAAAAAAAAAATCCATTTTAGGGCTGGGAAGGTGGCTCAGTGGTAGAGCGCTTACTTTGCATGTCTGAGGCCCTGGGTTCGATTCCTCAGCACCACATAAGCAAAAAGAAAAAAGCCGGAAGTGGCGCTGTAGCTCAAGTGGCAGAGCGCTAGCCTTGAGCTGAAGAGCTGAGGGACGGCATCCAGGCCCAGAGTTCAGGCCCCATGACCGGACCCAAAAAAAAAAAACAACAAAATCCATTTTACAGTATTTTCACAATAAAAAAAATCCATTTTAGCATTTTTAATTGCTTTATTAGTATTTGTTGAAAAAATACATGTTGTGTGTATAATATCCCTAGTTAGTTATTTAACCAGAATACCTTTTCATGCTTTTTAAGTTTCTTGTTAAAAGTAGGTAAATTTTCTCAGTTGGCTGTCAAGGTCAAATTCATCTATATAAAGAGCCAATTCAAATGTATTTAGTCCTTCATGTTGGAAAGTGTGTGTGTGTGTGTACGTATGTGTGTGTACTGGGGCTTGAACTACGGGCTTGGGTGCTGTCCCTGAGCTCTTTTGCTCAGGCCTAGTGCTCTACCACTTTGAACCACAACTCTACTTCCAGCTTTTGGGGGTTAATTGGAGATAAGAGTGTCTTTGAGGGCTAGGAGTGTGGCTTAATGGTAGAGTGCTTGCCTAGCATGCATAAAGCCCTGAGTTCAATTCCTCAGTATCAAATACACAGAAAAATCCAGAAGTAGTTCTGTGGCACAAGTGGTAGAGTGCTAACCTTGAGCAAAAAGAAGCACAGGGACAGTACCCAGGCCCTAAGTTCAAGGCCCAAGACCTGAGGGTGGGGGTGGGGAGACTGACTTTTCTTGCCGGGGTTGGCTTCAAACCTCAATCCTCATATCCCAGCCTCCTGAGTTTCTAGGAAAACATGTGTGAGCCACCAGCACCCAGCTACAGGTAATTTTGTTGTTGTTTGAGGTATGAGATCAAACGTAGAACCATGTGCTTAGTCAACAATCATTCTACTAGTGAGTTAGTTATACCACCAACCTCAGTTGCTCTTTGATTTGAATATCAATGGTCAAAATCCAAACATAGAGGTTACTGGTATACTAAAAATCCTGCAACCTTTTCCAACTTTTCCTTATCTATTAATTTTGTCAACTTTGAAATACATAATATATACCAAAATGAATTTATCTACTCATGTTTAATGATTGCCTTCAATGGAAACACCACATTGTAAGATTCTTTGGAACATAAAATGAATCTTGCCTTAAGATACTTTTATTGTGGAATATAAAACATACCTTAAACATTTTAATATAAAATATAAGAAGCAATAAAAATAGCTGAGTGTCTTTGGTTCATACCTATAATCCTAGCTACTCAGGAATCTGAGAACTGAGTTCAAAGCCATCCTGTGTGGAAATGTCTATGGCTCTCTTATCTCCAATTAACTACCAAAAGCAGGAAGAGGAGTGTGGCTTTAGTGGTACAGTGCTAGCCTTGAGCAAGAAAGCTCAGAGACAGTACCCAGACCCTGACTTCAAGCCCCAGGACCAGTAGGGAAAAAAAAGCAATGAAATAATTAGCCCTGTAGTAATGTTCAATCTCTAAGAATTGTATTATTCAGTAATCTTTTATTTTAAAATGAACTGATTTATTTTATTGGCTGCTGTTTCTTTGCTGGATTATGATACATTCTTTATGTAGCAACATAAAGACTAATTTATTTCTTAATTTGACCAGAACTGGCATTTTTAAAGGAAAATTGTTATTAAAAATTGGTAAGTAACTTTAAGTCTAGGTAAATATAGTACTTTCTTCAAAAGTCATTCACTGTAACATGGAGTATATATTTGTACTCTGATATTTTTTAAAGTCCATTTTTGTTATCCAAATTAAATTTACATAAAGTTTCCTTATCTCAGGCTTTATTTTCAAATAAGTTATGTGATTTTAGTAATACATTGGTATTGCTTATTCTTTGGTAATGGGTCTCTGATTTACTTGAAATCTAGTGTTTATACCAACAATAAACTTTTAGAGTTTTCAAACTGCAATTTCACTGTTAATGGTGGTTTTACATGTTGTGGAAATAAATTTCCTTATCATTTTACTATTTGATCAAGTTGAAAATCTTAACTATATTTTAAAACTTTCTGCCACAGCGTTTTACCAACGAGGATCATTTGGCTGTCCATAAACATAAACATGAGATGACACTGAAATTTGGTCCAGCACGTAATGACAGTGTCATTGTGGCTGGTTAGTATATGCTTTTATTAATAGCTTATATACATATTTCACCTACTATGTGCACAATTTTTGTGTATTCTTTGTAAATATTATAATCTGGTGATATTCCAGTGACATCATTTACAGTAAATGTTGGCAACATTATTTTAGCCATCACATTTCCATGTTTCCTTCTGACCATTTCATTTTTTTGTGTGCTTTACAAATGTCAGTTAATTAGAACCCTTGGAATATTCATAGCATCTATAGATTTTGTACTTAACTGAGAACTGAAGTAATGTGGTATTTAGTGTTTCTTCAGCTGACTGTAAGGCTGTGTAAACATAGAAAGTTGTCAGGCTTTTCCTCTTAGGAGAGAGCAATTAGTAGTATTTATGTATAAAGTATTAAAAAAAAAAAAGTCTCCATAACAGAGGTCTAAATTCAGTGGGTTTTTTTTGTGTGTTGACCCCATGACCATACCACATCATCAGAAGCAGATGATTATTTTTCATAAATGGGAAAAAGAGAAACCTCATGCATGTTTTGGTTTGTGTTTCCATCCTGTATTAGCTGTCTGGTATTTATATATATACACACACACCCACACATAAGTGTGGGTATGTGTGTATATATATTAGGTATCATTTTTATACTTACATATTTTGTAAGTATTATTAAAAAGAGAAAGCTTTATATCAATTTATATAAATTTTAGACTGTTTCTGCCTAACCTCAAATTTACATATCATAAAACAACTTTGTGGATTGTTTTGTGAAATACAGGTTATTCTATTTGCAATTCTGGAATTACACCTGAAAACTATTTTAAGTTATTATTCATTATAATTATCATGTACGGTCCTTTGGGTAGGCAATAAGTCAGTTTCAGATAGTTCTTCCTGTACTTACAGTAGCGAAATTTTTGTAATAAAATTGGAAGTAATAAAAAGTAGGTAATTTACAGTTATGTAAGGGAACTTGCACTATGTCTTTAGCTCTGCAAAAAGCAGAGTGAGGTATTCATTTCTTTGTAGTATTGTAAATCAGATATTAAGTACTAAAGCAAAAAGAAAACAAAATAACTTGCCTGGAAAATTTACTCTCCTTGGCATGAAAGTCTTACTCTCTTAGGCATGAAGGTCCTTGTTTCTTCCATAGCTACTTACAGTATTTTCCCTGTAAACTTTGTTTCTTTTGTTTCTTTGTAAACCTTTAACTCAAAAAAAAAATATTTTTGTTTCTTTGTACACGTTTAACTCAAAAAAAAATATTTTGAAGTTGGTTCCTGGAAATAACTTTTCTATCTAATTACATTTTATACAGTATAAAAATAGAACACATTTAAACAGCACTTGAATATCTTTTACTAACATATATTTAGATGAATAGTATATGTTGTGTAAATAAAATGCATGTTTGTAGGATATATTTGATCAGTAATCATATGCATTCTACATGTTAAGCAGTTACACCATATTGACTTCTCAAGCTTGACAATTTCAATAAGTATCAATAAAGTAATTTTTGCTTCTGAATTTTATTTTTAAGACTTTTCCCTCCCATAACATAATGTAATGTAATGTATCATAACAGAGCATGACATAACCATGAGACCCTTATTTTCTATGATTTTAGAGATTATTGGGCATTAGAGACTAGGAATAGAGTATGTTAAAGATTAATAGGTAAAGTTATGACACTAGAATCCTTACAATAATCCCTACAATAATTCTGATATTACTAATAGTATCTGAGACAGGGCAGCATTATGTTTAATATGTATGACAGATGTGTCATTTTAATACAAACATGTTTTTATAGAGTAAAAATATTACTACTATACTAATATGTTTTTATAGACTAAAAATACTATTATAAAAATACTATTATATGTTTTTATAGAGTAAAAATACTATTATACTATGCTTCAACACAATACTATTATATTAATTATAGTATAGTAAAAAGATACAATACTATTATAGTATAGTAAAATGCTTTTACTCTGGGTATTACTATTAAATATGGAGGCAAAGAAAAAATAGTAATACTGTGAGAACACTGTACTTAAAAATTAGGTAGTTTTAGCCAGGTGCCGGTGGCTTACTCCTATAATCCTAGGTACTCAGGAGGCTGAGATCTGAGGATCGAGGTTCAAAGCCATCCCTGGCAAGGCAAGTCCGTGAGACTCTTATCTCCATTTAACCACCAGAAAACCAGAAGTGGCGCTGTGGCTCAAGTGGTAGAGTACTAGCATTCAGCTGAAGAGCTCAGAAACAGCACCCAGGCCCAGAGTTCAAGCCCCACAACCAACAACAACAAGAAAAAATTAGGTATTTTATCTTAAGCAAGAAATCTTTCTTAATTGAGTCCTTTTTATTTAGACTATTACTGACAGAACCTCTAAAACTGATTTTCTAAAATATATAAAATGCAACAAAAATTTTAGCGTACTACCAACACTAAATATGAACAAGAAACCTTGAAAATATTATGACGAAATCATCAAAACTTGTAAGTTTGCTGTTTTCCATTCAACATGGGCATCATTTGGTGATTGTTCTACAAACAGTATGTGAATACATTGGTTAATGTATGCAAAATTTTAAGGACATTTTTTATGTTTTAACTGTTAGTACAGTTGTCATTTTTTCAAATAAATTAATCCACATCATTGTTTTGACATGTGACATATATTGCTCTGAGTAATCTTACAAAATAAAATAGATAACTTCAGTAGATAATAATAATGTTTTGTTTTTATGTCTCATGTTTTAATTTTTCTTCCCTTTACTATTTTGATATATCTACTAAAGGTTATGTTTTAAGCTTACTTCCAATATAGATTATAAACAACTAACTGGTTAGCCAAGTTTTAAAAAATAATGCTCTTAAGCTTTCCGAAATTGCATGTATTTATTTAAACAATTGTATTTAATAATGTAAATTAAGAAAGATTACAGTGGTTCATGCCTGTAATCCTAGCTACTCAGGAGGCTGAGATCTGAGGATTATGGTTCAAAGCCAATTCAGGCAGGAAAGTCCATGAGACTGTTAATCTCCAGTAACCACCAAAAAGCCAGAAGTGGAGCTATGACTCAAGTGGTAGAACACCATCCTTGAGTGAAAAACTAAGGACAGTGACTAAGTTCAAGCCCTAGTATCAGCACAAAATAATAATAATTTTTAAAAATTTATAATCATGTTAGATCATGCAGTTTATTTCCTATAATTTATGCCACTCTATTCAGAAAGAGTGGACTAAGAAGCAAAAAATAACTTCTTTAATAATCCTACTGTTCATGATATTGGAACAGAATTTAACCAAGCAATGTTTGCTTTAAAGGAAGAGCTCTTTTCAAAGAAATAACAACAGATCTGTTAATTTATTAATTTACTAGTATATTTTTGAATTGTAAATTTAAATCTGTATGATTACTTCTCAAAATTTATTTCAGATCAGACCCCAACACCAACAAGATTCTTGAAAAACTGTGAAGAAGTGGGTTTGTTTAATGAGTTGGCAAGTCCATTTGAGAATGAATTCAAGAAGGCTTCGGAAGATGACATTAAAAAAGTATGTAGTTAATCATGAAATTCAACAAGAGTTTACTTCTGATGGAAAAGTAATAATAATTTATGATTTCTGTTTAATTTAAGTATTGTGATTGGCTGATTTTGATCTTTGATGTTTTCTTTATTATTTTCATTAGATGCCTCTAGATTTGTCCCCTCTTGCAACACCCATCATAAGAAGCAAAATTGAAGAACCTTCTGTTGTAGAAACAACTCACCAGGATAGTCCTTTACCTCACCCAGAGTCTACTACAAATGACGAAAAGGTTAGAAATGCATTTGTGTAGAAAAGGGGGAAAATTAATAATCCCAAGTAAAGTTTTAATGATTTCATTACCATGAAATGTTAAGGTATAATATATATATATATAATTAGTATTGTATATATATATATTAGTATTAACATAAGAATATTATGTTTAAAAAAAAACTTGTGAATAATCACATACTTCAGGAAGAGTCTACCTTTATAAACAGTGTTTACTTTTTGTTTGTGCCAGTACTGGGGTATGAACTCAGGGCCTGGGCACTGTCCCTTAGCTTCTTTACCATTTGACCACAGTTCCAATGCTGGCTTTTTTCTGGCTAACAGGAAATAAGAATCTCTAGGACTTTTCTGTTCAGGCTTGCTTAACCATGATGCTCAGATCTCAGCCATAAACAACAATACCCAGTCCATTTTTTTTGTAATTTTTTATTTTCTAATAGCATCTTAAAAGATAGGCACAAGTTCAGCTATACAAAAAAAAAAAAAAAATACTCATTTTTATACCTTATCCTATAATCTTTTTTGTGTGTGTGTTTTTCTTTTCTTTTTTTTTGGTCAGTTGTGGGGCTTGAACTCTGGGCCTGGGTGCTGTCACTGAGCTGTTCAGCTCAAAGCAAGCGTTCTACTACTTGAGCCACATTACCACTTCCAGTTTTCAGGTAGTTAATTGGAAATAAGAGTTTCACAGACTTTCCTGCCCGGGCTGACTTCAAAGCACAATCCTCAGAGCTCAACCTTCTGAGTAGCTCTTAGAATTACAGGTGTGAGCCACCAGCACCCAGCTAGTGCCTTTTTTCTTTTTATAATTTCTATTTACCTTTTTTTTTTTTCTGGCTAAACTTTTGTTAAAAACTAAGGTACAAGTACATCGATTAGCCTAGGGCTACTTAGGATCAGAATCCTCAGTAGAGCTGTCTTCTGCCTCTGCATCTTGGAAGGTCTTCAGAAACAGTGACATGTATGGAGTTATCACTTGTGGTAGCAATGATTACTTCTGTATCCCTACCAAAGGACCTGCCTGAGGCTTTTCTTGATGTTGTCAGAATTTTCAGAATTTCCTGAGGCTTCCAAAAGCTTCTACCAAACCTGCACTGTGAATTGTCTTTACCTCTCTCTCTTCTTTCTCTCCTCTCCTCTCCTCTCTCCTTCCTTGCCTCCTTGCCTCTCTCCCTCTTTTCTCCTGTCCTTCCTTCAACAGGTCTCAACCATGTATATAGCCCAGGCTAGCTTGGCATTTTCTGTGATGTCCCAGTTGGGCTCATACTCAAAATTCTTAGCAATTCCTTTTCTTTTGCCTTTTCATCTAGGCAATAGGAATTTTTCAGTTCCACTTATACTCTTAGATCATCACCACCCTTTTGAGGTCTATTTACCAAAACTCACTATGTAGCATATGACTTCAGAAAAAGTAACTTGTTAGCAAGAATAGACACATGGAATTTAGTTTGTTTTTGTTTTATGTTCTTGATTATAAAAGTATGTACTCTATATAAAAACTTTAAGAATTCTGATAAACATGAAGAAGGAAACTGAAATTACCTCATAGCCCATAGTTGAATGATAAGCATTACCAATATTTTGAAGCATTTTTTCTAGATATACATAAATTTTCTACATACAAATATATAAGTGTTTAAGTTATGTAGAAGATTAAATGAATACAAAGAAAGTTCCCAGCTTATTGTTAATGATTGTACTTTTATTGTTTTTTCTGATGCTATGACAAATACTATTAAATCTTTTATGTTTTGCTTTTTTGTGCTGGTTCTGGGGCTTGAAATCAGGGCCTGAGGTTTTTTTGCACAAGGCTAGTGTTCTGTTATTTAGCTACAACTGCATTTCCAGATTTTTTTGTGTGATTAATTGGAGATAAGAGTCTCACAGACTTTACTGCCTATTGTTGTCAAACCAAGATTCTCAGAATAGCTAAGATTATAGCTGTGAGCTCCTGGCTTAATTTTGTGTGTGTGTGTGTGTGTGTGTGTCTGTGAGTGATACTTGGATTTGAACTCAGGGCCTTAAAGTTGTTAAGCAGCAACTCTTACCACTGAGCTACAGTTTCCATAATTTTGCTTATTATTTGGAGATAGGGTGTTGCTTGCTGCCTGCACATACACTTGGGTATAATCTAAATATATTAGGCTTTCCAGTAGTTAGAATAATGGGTACATGCCCTTGGATTTACCTCTTTGTTGAGAAGAGGTCTATTGGGCATTTTTCTGTCCATGCTGGCTTCAAATCATGATCCCAACAATTCCTGCCTCCCAAATAGCTACAATCTGTAGGTTTGAATCCCTGACACTAGGCTTTGAAATAAATCCTTTTTTCTTATAAAACACTCCAGTTCCTTCATTGTTGATGGCTGCTTTATCATCATTTAAGGGTATTCCTTCTTAACCATATTCTTTGTCGTTAGCTTCATCGTCATGCCAAGTTGTAAAACATCAGTTCAAGACTTCTTTCTTTGCTATGATTTTCTTAGGTAAAGCTTGTACCAACCCAAGTTTTCCTCCAGATCATATTTATAGCATATTTGTACTATTGAATTTTTATTAGCAGGATATAGTCTAGTATAATAAGAGAAGAACTAGGCATTGCCCTCTGGATTCTGTGTTCTGTTGATAAGAATGGATTATATTTGTATGATTTACTGAAATACTACTCATCAACCTAATTTATTTCTGGATTGAAAGGAAAACTAGTTATACTGAAAGATTTTTAAAAAGTAAAATATTGAGCATTGAAATTGAATCTTTACAACTACTTTTAAAATATGTCTCTGTGTCAGTCTCTGTCTCTTTCTCTCTCAACAGTACTTGAACTCAGAACTTGCTAGGTAATCATTCTACTACTTGGGCCATGCCTCCAACCCTTAAAACCTTGTCTTAATTACTTTGACATTATATTTTACTTTTGCCTGTTAAGCATTATCCTTGAATGCCTTTAGGAATATTACATTCTGTTCACTAAAGTACATGAATTGATTTGTACTTTAAATGCCACCATTTCTTTATCTCATTATTAAATAGGATGTACCATTGGCACAAACTGCACAGCCCACATCAGCTATTGTTCGTCCAGCATCTTTACAGGTTCCCAATGTGCTTCTCACAAGTTCTGACTCAAGTGTAATTATTCAGCAAGCAGTACCTTCACCAACCTCAAGTACTGTAATCACCCAGGCACCATCTTCCAACAGGCCAATTGTGTAAGTGATTGGGTCAGTTATTGACTCACGTAAATTGTTAAAGTCTTTAAGATTTTCCTAAGCTATTTAATTGCTGAAATTATGATCATAGGTAGTTGTGTGTTTGTGTGTGTGTGTATGTTATATCTGTGTGGTTTAATTTTTGGAACATGAATATTCTTTTTTTAATTATGAATATCACCTAATAGATTGGAAAAAATAGTTAAAAACAAATTTTAACATAGAATGTGAATTTAAGATGGTCTTTTTATGCTCTTTCAAACACACAAAAGAAGTTACTCAATCACAAGATGACATTTCTTTTACTCCTTTCAAGTAGATCCTGACAAGTAGATCCTGATCTTTTTTGTTTTTGTTTCATTTTTGTTGTTTAGAAAGGATCTTGGTATGCATCTTAGATTATTAGCCTACATCTCAATGTAGCCTATTCTGGCCACACTCACCTTACTCTCAAGAGCTTTCTGATAAGAATTTTTCTCAATTTATAAATTGGAGAGTGTACTAGGAAATTTATAATTTTCCTTTTTTAATTCTACATATATTATATACTTAAGATAAAATAATTAAAATTTTTTGTTTTGTAGTGGCTAGTAGAAATTATTTTTAAATCATAATATGAGTAAAATTACCTTTGTATTTTGAGAGATGGTTGGTATGGATCTATTCCTTACTTTTTTTTTCTTAGCCCTGTGCCAGGCCCATTCCCTCTTCTATTACATCTTCCTAATGGACAAACCATGCCTGTTGCTATTCCTGCATCAATTACAAGTTCTAATGTGCATGTTCCAGCTGCAGTCCCAGTAAGTTGGAAATTTAGATAATTTGTCTTAATAGCAAAACTAGTTTTTGCAAAGTAATTAGGAAATATAGTTAAAGCTACATGATTGACCTTTTCTGTTTGTTAAACTGAATTAAGTGAAATACATTTTAGTGGTAGGTAATATTTACTGGTATTTATGGTAATATAATATACTATTGAAAGCTGGGCACCGGTGGCTCACACTTGGAATCCCAGCTACTCAGGAGACTGAGATCTGAACATCATAGTGGCAAGCTAGCCCCAGTAGGAAAGTCCCTGAGATTCTTATCTCCAATAAACTACTCAGAAAAAGCCATGGCCCAAGTGGTAGAGCACTAGCCTTGAGCACAAAGAGCTTAAAGACAGCACCTAAGCCCTGAATTCAAGCCCCATGACTAACCAAAAAATTTTTTTCTCCCCTCCCAGGCCTGTTTTCTCTCTTTTTTGTACTAACAAATATACCTTTATTTGATTCATATTGAATATATTTTTATAATTCAAATATTTCAGATTTCTGATTTTTAAAGAGACATTTGTAGTAGAATGCTATCAAAAAACTATGATTTGGCTTTATAGACATTAAGATTATTTTTATTTTTAATAGAACTAAGGTTTGAATTCTTGGATTCTTGTTTGTTAGACCCTCTGTCACTTGAACCATGCCTAGATGTTAAAAATTCTTTATAAAAACATACTCTTTGATTCTTTGTGGCCAGGTGAATTTTACAGTTGAGTTTAATGGGTTAAGAAGCATGTTAAAGTCTAACTCATAGTCTTCTAGTTTGTAATGAGAAGATCCAGCATTGTTTTTTTAGAGGCATGTTAAATAGAATTTGGGGAGACAGATAAAATAACTACTTATGATATTTAGTTTAAAAACACATTTAGAACAATGTATCATCCTTAATTATTTTTTTTTCCAACTAAAACCAGTAGAAAATTTTTATCAGACCTATTTCCAGAGTATATCCCAAATCCTAACTTTAAAAATCTGTTCAAGTATAACTAGTAAGTCACCATTATCTTTCACTTGTATTATTAACACTTTTTTTTTCAATTGCGGAAATAGGACCAAGGGCTTCAAGTATAAACCCTATCACTGAGTTCTATCCCTAGTCCCCTTTGTTTTCTTATAAGAGACAGGTTCACAATTTGAGGCTAAGTCCTCAGTTTCTCAGATTGCTGGAACCACGGGTTCAGAACATCATGCTAAGCTATCATCTCTTTCTTACTAGACTTTTCTGCTTCTATCTCCAGGAGTTGTACTACTGGAAATCTTATCCCAAGCCTTAGAGATATACTCAGATAATAAAATGGTGGTAGTGTGGTTTTTTTTTTAATCTTAGAGATACATATTGTTGGTCTATATGCCAGCATTTTGGGTTTTTTTTGTTTTTGTTTTGTTGTTTTTTTGTCGTTTGTGGGGCTTGAACTTCTGGGCCTGGGGCCTGTCTCTAAGCTCTTTAGTTCAAGGCAAGCACTCTACCACTTGAGTCACAGCACCACTTCTGGTTTTCTGAGAGGCTTATTGGAGATAAGAGTCTCCCAGGCTTTCCTTGCACATGCTAGTTTTGAACCTTGATCCTCAGATCTTAGCTTCTTGAGTAGATAGGTTTACAGGTGTGAGCCGAGCTTATGCCAGCATTTTTGAAGGAAGAAACATTTCTCACCTTGTATTTGGTTGCTGTATTAAATGTACTCATAATGGAAGTGACTATGAATAAAGAGATAATTTTTGTATAATTATTAAAAGCAAGAACTAAACTGGAAAATTCTGTCACAGATTATTGTGAAAACATGTTAGAAGTCATCAACTTGTTATTGTACTGTGTATTAATACACCAAAGAACTCATACATTTTCTAATTTATAAATATTTTAGAAAAATGAAGTTCATTGTTAGTTTTTATGCCTCATTGTTACAAATTCTGAAGTTTTTTTAAGTTCAAAATGAAATTAACATTTTTCATTACCTTGAATATTATGTGTGTATAAACCAAGAACCACTTAAAAAAGAAATTGTGGAAATAGTATTGTAGAAAAACTGACAACTTTTGGGAGTCCTAGCTCAGGCCAAAAGGCCCTGAGTTCAAATACCCAGTACTAAGGGGAAAAAAGACAAGTTTTGAAGGTTAAATCAGGATATAATATTAATAAAGGTTTAGTGTAGAAATATCAACTGGAGAAAACATTTTTTATTCTAAAGTTTCAAATTATTATGATAGTCATTGTGCAAGTAAAAGAAAAATCGCATTTTGAAAATAATCTGTAGAAATGAGTATTTTCAATATCTTTGTGCAGCTTGTTCGTCCAGTCACCATGGTGCCTAGTGTTCCAGGAATCCCAGGTCCTTCCTCCCCTCAGCCAGTGCAGTCGGAGGCAAAAATGGTAAGCAAGATTTTATTCTGCACGTTTGTTTTTATTTGTTTTTTTATCTTATTAATAGTACTTGTACAAGACATTGTATAATTTGTAGTTGTACAAATTTCCTAAGTCAGGTTATGAATACAAGTTACGCCTTCCATCATCCCTCCCCCATTTTTTCCCCCTTCTATCCCTACCCAGTTATTAGTTCATTTTTTTACATAACGCACATCAAATATAACGACTTTATTTGCTCACCCTTCATCCTTCCATTCTTGTGGCTCCCCCACCTCCCCAAAGAAACACTATTTTGAAGTGTTTTTCCCCCACTGTTAAAGACTTTGTAACTTAGTTTAGACTTTTTATAGTTTTGGATTATCTTATACTATAGAAGAATGAGAAAATTTGGAAAAAGAAAATTCTATTAGTATAGTGACTAATAGTGATACTTTAAATGGATGAATTACTAAAGTTCTACTTCTAGGACTTCTCTCTCATTTGTCTAGTTTTAGCTGTTACTAATCAGACCATCACTCTCCTCCTGGTGGTTGCTAGGAGTATTACAGCTGAAACTAGATGTAATCATCTGAAGATAGTACTGAGTGAACGGTTTTAATGCCATTGAGATTTAAGTCTTTATTGGTCATTCAAGTGCAGCAAAATTCATACAAACTGAGTGTCTTGTAACTTGTTAGAGGAAAGAAAATTGATTTACTAGGAAGTTGTACATGATTTTGGAATTGGAACTTGTAGTTTTTGTAACATTAAAAAATTTTATATGTTTTAAATTTTATTAGAATCCTAGTTGTCAGCCTATCATTTTATCCCTGCTAAAGTAGTGGTGTTTTCTTCAAAGACTCTTCTGGACAGTAATTGATTGTAAAGTAACCATACAGTTAAATTATGGATTTATCCCAGGAAGTATAGGGTTAATAATTTATTAAGTAAATGGAGCTGTTAAAGCAAAAAAGAATTTTGAAATAGTATACACATTAGCAAACATTGTATGTGACACTTAGAAACTATATTTTTCTATTGTTTAAAAGAATAGGCTATAGATTAGTAATTGGAAAGTTTGGCAGAGGGAAAGGAGGTTGTCTGTCTTGGGACTTGAACTCAAGGCCGGGGCACTGCCCCTGAACCTTTCTGCTCAAGGCTAGAGTTCTACCACTTTGAGCCACAGCTCCACTTCTGGTTTATGGGTGATTAATTGGAGATAAGGTCTGAGAAGGTGGCTCAGTGGTAGAGCGCTTGCCTTGCATGCATGAGGCCCTGGGTTCGATTCCTCAGCACCACATAAGCAGAAAAAGCCGGAAATGGGACAGAGGCTCAAGTGGTAGAGCACTAACTTTGAGCTGAAGAGCTGAGGGACAGTGTCCAGGCCAAGAGTTCAGGCCCCACGACCAGAAAAAAAAAAAAAGAGTTTCCACACTTTCCTGCCCAGGATAGCGATTTACTACCCTTAATCAATCCACTTTTTTCCCCCTGAGATTCAATTTTTTCTCTATGAAGTGCAAACATTAAGCTTTAATTTCACTTAGTCCCAGATCTCATAAGCTAACTTTCTTTATAGAAGACATGAAGTTCCCTCCCCATTCCCTCTCTCTACCCCTCACTTTTTTTTTTTTTTTTTGGTGCCAGTTTTGGGGCTTGATCTCAGGGCCTGGGTTCTGTCATGAGCTTTTGGGCTCAAGGCTAACTACTCTACCAGTTGGCCCACAGCGCCACTTCCATTTATTTTTGGTAGTTCATTAGAGACAAGAGTCTGACAGGCTCTCTTGCCCAGACTGGCTTTGAACCAGATCTCAATCTCCAGAATAGCTTGGATTACAGGGAGGAGCCACTGGCATCCAATTTTTTCTCTTGTTTTTTGTTTTTTGTGGGTTTTTTTTGACAGTCCTGGGGCTTGAACTCAGGGCCTGGGCACTGTCTCTGAGCTGCTTTTGCTCAAGACTAGCATACTACCACTCGAGCCACAGTACCACTTCTGGCTTTTTCTGTTTATGTGGTACTGAGGAATCATACCCAGGGTTTCATGCATGCAAGGCAAGCACTCTACCACATTCCCAGCCTCTCTCTTATTTTTAAAATTAGCTTATAGTATTTATACAGGAGGCAAATTTATTGTTACATCTCTAGACATATTCATACTGTATTCCAACCAATCTTACCCCCACTATCCCTCTTTAAATAAGTATAATTCTCCCTTCTATGTCTAATATAATACAAGACCAATTCTTATCATCCATTAATGTATCCTAAGGAAATCCATAGGTAGTAACTAAGTACTTGTTTAGGTACTATATTAATACATATTTTTTACATTAAAAAATTAGAAGACACAAACTTTTTACTGCTATTTTCCACCAGGACAGTTCTGAAATTTGTACATTATAACCTCTCAAACAATAAAATTAATGTACCATCTGAATGAAGAACAAAAATTAGCTCATTTTGGGGCTGGGAAGGTGGCTCAGTGGTAGAGTGCTTGCCTTGCATGCATGAGGCCCTGGGTTCGATTCCCCAGCACCACATAAGCAAAAAGGAAAAAAGCTGGAAGTGGTGCTATGGCTCAAGTGGTAGAGCGCTAGCCTTGAGCTGAAGAGCTGAGGGACAGTGGCCAGGCCCAGAGTTCAGGCCCATGACCGGACCCAAAAAAAAAAAAATTAGCTCATTTTGTTGATTGTGGTGAGAATAGAATGTAATAGCTGCAGGGGAAACTGTACATGATAGCATATTCAGACCAGACTTTTGGAAAGTTAAAGATGAATCTTAACTTGATAGCAGAAATACTTCACTGGGGATGTTTAAATACTTTCTATTTAAATATAGTAATAACTGAGTAGAATAAAAATAATCAGAGAGATCCTATTGTATATTACATCTAAAGATATGTTTACATATGGACTATTTTTTTTTTCTTTTTGGCAATAGTAGGGTTTAAACTCAGAATATGTGCTAGCTAGGCTGATACTTACTGCTTACCTATATTCTAGCTGATTATTTTTGAAAAGGATCTCCCTTTTTGCTTTGGAATGTACCTCGACTGCAAAATACCTATTTTCGACTTTGAACAATTGCTGGGATGGCCTGCCTAGGCTTTTGCATCTACGGATGGGTTGAGATTAGTCTTGAGAACTTTTTTGCCTGGCCGGTCTCAAACCACAGTCCTCTTACTGTTACCTTGTATAGTATCTACAGTTATAGGCATGAGCCACAGATCTGGACTCAAGATGAACAAATTCTATTTAAAGAATTTCCTTGGGCTATATGAGTAGGCTATATTTCTCACAGCTATTAAATATCACACTAACCTGAATAACTTTCTTTTAGGTCACTAGGAAATTAAATTTTAAAATAGAGACATTTTAAACATTTGTATCTTAAAAATTGTCAAAACTATGACTTTCATTCATTTATATATGAAAAATAATCATTAGTTTAAAACCCAAAAATAAAATGAGGATTAGATTGCCCCACTTATTTAACATCCAATTAAATTTGTTATTAGAATTTTACTAATGTAAAATAGCTATATTTTTCATGATTGCCTATTTTAATTGGAATAGCAAGTAAGATTGCTGTTTTTTTTTTATTAGGTTAAAAGACTGAAATTATTCTGCTTCCTCTTTTTTATCCTTCCATGATGAAAAATTTTAAACATAAAGAAAACAGGATAATGAACTCTTATGTCCCCATCACCTACCTTCAGTTATTATATATATATGTGTATATATATACTATATATATATATATATATATATATATATATATATATATATATATATGTACTATATTGCCATTCTTGTTTTATGTACACCTCAGTCCAACCAACCCCTATCTCCATTCAATTATTTTTCTAAGTTTTAAGATAAGATTTGTGGGCTGGGAAGGTGGCTCCCCTTGCATGCATGAGGTCCTGTGTTCAATTCCTCAGTACCACATAAACAGAAAAAGCCAGAAGTGGCACTGTGACTCAAGTGATAGAGTGCAGCCTTGAGCTGAATAGCTCAGGGACAGCGCCAAGACCCAGAGTTCAGGCCTAACAACTGACCAAAAAAAAAAAAGATTTATATACATTGAAATGAACCAATTCTTTTTTTTTTTTGGAGGTGTGTGTGTGTGTGTGTGTGTTACTGGGTATTAAATTTAAGACCTCATACTTGAAATTAGGCAGGTACTCTGCTACTTGACTGTGCCTCCAGCCCCTTTTTGCCTTGATTATTTTAAAGGTAGAGTCTGTATTTATCCTTGGCCAACTCTTACTCATGCTTTACCATGTTGTTGGGATAATGATGTGTACCATCATACTCCTTGTTTCAGATAGTCTCATGAATTTTTTTATATTTGGACTGGTCTTGAACCATGGTATCCCAATCTAGTAGTTCTTAGCCACTGTGCTTTGCAAAATAACGAATTTTAAATGAAGTTTTGATAAATAAATACTTCTCCCCCACTTGTAAGATAATATAGAACATTGATATCTACCCACAAAGTTTTTCTGTTATCAGAAAAGTCTGATCAGTCCTCTTTATAGCTGTTCCTCTGTTTTGGCACCATAAATTCTAAATTATATAAATGGAATCTGTATTCTTTTGTGCCAGTTTAGCATTCATCTGTGATATTTATTCCGGTTGTTACATGTATCATGCTTTGCTTATTTTATTGTAGAGTATTATTCCATTATGTGAAATAGACCACGATTTTTTGTCTATTTTCCCAATGATAGACACTTGATTTCTAGTATTTAGCTAATATACACATTTTTTGGTTGGTAGTTTAGTTTCGCTTCTTGTATTTATAATGTTAGGGGTTGTATATAGGTATTTACACATTCTTTAGAATGTGTAAATAAAGAATCTAGGGCTGGGAAGGTAGCTTAGTAGTAGAGCGTTTGCCTTGCATTCATGAGGCCCTGGGTTCGATTCCTCAGCACCACATAAGCAGGAAAAAAAAAGAAGCCGGAAGTGTCACTGTGGCTCAGGTGGTAGAGCGCTAGCTAGCCTTAAGCTGAAGAGCTGAGG